TGGTTTAATATTGCAGAGGTAACTATTTGCTCTTGAGTTCAAACTAGTACTTTTAATTACATTTCTCGACATTTAATGTTAAAATTAATGCTTCCTTTTATCTGATTAATTAAAGTAGATTTTTTTTTTCTGAAATTCACTAATAAAGAACACCTTTCCATGTTTTGAAAAGAATTTTGAACACTTGATCCTGGTCAGTCATGCAGGTTTTTTTAGTTTCAAAATACAGAGAACAATGTTAAATATGGTATAGTAAATTTATAGAAAACAAAGTCCAGTAACTTTTGCAGTCAGTCATACTACTTCTTGCAGATTTATTTGATCGGGCTGTTAAAATCTGAAATTATGATTTACAGGCGATTTTTTTTCCCTTGTTTAAGAAAGGCTGAGATCCACGGCTTTCTGATAGCTATGAAAAACAGCTCTTGCCTTTGTGTTGTACAAGGAGTGTTTTTCAGTACTGATTACTCAGACATCATCAGAAAGCATAATGGAGCTAGATCTGACAATCCCAGCTTTGCACAGAAGTGTAGCTTTTTGCATGCAAAAACATCTTTTGCTGAATAGGGATGTGCGTATTTTTCATTTTTTGACAACCTTGATGATCTATGATTATGACTATAGTTTCGTTGAGAAGACTGAGTCAGAAAGGAAGAGCTGCGTAATTGATTTGTTTTGCTGCCTGCAGAACACACGGTGTGGTTACGTAACATCTCAAAAGCGATCATGCAGCAGGAAGAAAGGTGATGAACGATTTTCTATCTCGTATCTCAGCTTTGTTTCCACTTGGCTGAACACTAGATGAAGGACAGACTTAACTTTTTTCAGTTGTAAATGGTGTTTAATTTTTAGATGTCTGCATGCTGCATCGCAGGAGAGGAGCTGCACAGTTGGGAAGGAAACATTTGCTGGTGGTAGGAAACTGAAACAGCTCCTCACAACCAGGGCTGAAACTTCATATTGGTCATCTAAAGATGAAAGGCTATGAGTTATCTCTGAGCTGTAATCCTATTACTCTGCACGGTGGCTCTGCTCTCCCTGCTGTCTGTGGCTGGGAATATGCAAGTTCTTGGCTGAGTGCCCAGACGGTAAACCTGTCTTTTAATATTCTGCTATCAGTCTCTTCACAAAGCTTCTAGCTCTGACACTCATATTTGGTTATATGATACTGTGTAAAAACGCAGGATTGAAAGGGAGGAGTCTCTGATTTTACGTACTCGCAGATCCTAGTTTTGTGTGGAATGGTTACTCTTCTTTCTTATATGTTTTCAAATTTTTACATCATTTTTGTGCATTAGATGTCATTGCCATTTTAATGTGAGGGATTTAGGTTCAGATAGAGAAAGAAATTTGCAAGTTCTAATTTACAAGATCATATTTATTCTATGCAAACCTGCAATCCATCTTTTTAAAAATGCATATCATATTGCATTAGTCAGATCTTGGAGGAATCAATTATTCCAATTCCATTTTCAACTATTGTGTATGAATCTTTTGAAAAGATCAAATTTTGTTAATACAAAGAAAGAAAATCTTTTTTCCCCTTTCTTCCTCCTCTCCACATAAGGCAGGATTGAACCGTAACTATTCAAGATGCCAGTTTGGATTTCTTAGCATAGGACTGAAGTTCAAATAACCTGTCATGGAAGCAGAAACCAACTGTATTTAAACAGAGTATTTGGAATAACTCGAATTGGTAGTTGAGAGCTAAAGTATAGGAAGAAACTGCTGGGCTTCTGATACAGGACATGTTTTGAAAGGGCAGAGCCTCTGAGTAATATGAATGGTTATTTGACTTTGAGTGCTCATGTAGCCAAATGCAAAATGAGTCTATGCAAATCAAGACTGCATTTACACAAACACTTTTGCCTCTGCTCTGACCTTTGGAGAATGTTATGTGGCAGAAGAAAGACTTCAGCCACAGTCCAGAAAAAACGAACATGCCCACACAAAGCTGTAAATGCTTTTTGTTCTTCTTAATCCAGGTTGGTTTTTTTCCCCTGTACGATACAGTGCTACATAAATCTTATGCATGAACAGTAAGACAGTTCAAAAGAGCATATTTTTAACGTGCTGTTTACAGCAAGTCACATGGATGAGTATTTATTATGGAGTGCATTGTGGGCTGGAGATGAATAATGCCTTATTCAAAAACAACTTTTAAAATCATGTTTAAAATAGGAAAAGATTGGGTTTTTTTCAGGTGTAACTTGATGTATACTTAAAATGTTTTATCAGTCCTCAGAAATACTTGGTAGAAATATGCTAATTCTAAAACTTTTTTTCTTTTAAGAACTGGAAAAAAAGTCTGAATCTAGACTTACAAAATCTTACTATCTCAAGTCAGAACAAAGGCAAACATTTCTTTTATATAATCATTAAGATGCTCATAAAGATAATCCTACTTTCTCTATAATCACTTCTGGTTTTTAATGAGGTGTTTTAATAGAGCTACCACAAGGAGGAAAGAAACAAACTTACTCAAAGCAGATTTCTAGTTACTTCAAGGAAAAAGATCTGGGAAAAATCAAAATACAAAGTACTCTGTCAATAGAAAAAAGCTATATATGCTATAAATGCAGCAAACTCCCTAACGTGTAATCATGGATGCTAACTTACCATTGCCCCTCTCTCTCTCTCAGAGGTGAAACTGAATCTGAAATCAGTAACATCTGTTATTTTTACCTGATGTAGAAGTTTAAAATAGTTTTATTTAAAAATATATTATTACCGCTATATAGTTTACATGCAAATTTGTGTAAAAATTAATTTCAGCTTTTTTTCCATGATTTTTTTTCCTAAGTATCCTTCTTGTAAGGTACAGTGGAGAGTGCATGGCCATGCATGTTTCAAAAAAGTAAATTTATAGTTAACATTTGAATTCTTTAAAAAGGGCTTTTAAAACCATTTTTCTGCACATATAAAGCTACCAAGTCTAATTCTGTTATGGAGTCAGACATCTGTTTCACCTTTCATGTTTAATTTACAGTGCAGCTCTAGGAGAGGAAGGCTGGTCTTTCATTCTTGCTATAAAGCATGAAACCAAAACAAATGATGTTTGCATTATTAAGCAGAGCTTTTTCTTTTTATTAGAACGTGTGTTGGAAAACTTCTCAGTGGTTTGTTTTCGCATAATGTTACACAGATCCTTTATCTTTGTTGTTAAAAATGGGAGGGTAAATATTGAGGTTGGGAAGGCTGGTTGTTTATTGTTTTGGAAAGAATATTGAGATAAAAATAAATGTTACAGAAAACCACTACCCTCAACACAAGGTGAATCAGCTAGGACTATGCTTGTAAGTGTGTTTCGCTGTTACTCCCGTTTTTCTGAATGTTAAAAAAAAAAGTTTATCTTTAAATCTTTCATTCTCTTTTGCCGCATTAAGAGAATTATTTATGGCTGTGAAAGTAATAATAGTTAGACCTTGGAAGTCATTCCTAAGAATTCTTACTTGCTGTTTTTGCAGCTTTTGTCTGATATCAGTGTAACGAGGTTAAGTGACAGAAGTCAGGTTTTGGGATTCTTGCTGAATCCAGTCCTGGGTTTATCTCAACTGCCTTTGGGGCCAAGATGGCCCATGCACCAGCCGCAGCAGCAGAGAGACAGGACGAACCACCTCGTGATGCTTCACATCAGGAGCCAGAATTACCCCTGCAGGTTCTTGGTTTTTGCTGCTTTGGAGAGAGCCTATGTCCCTACTTCACCTTTAATTTCATTTGAATGGCAGAAGCTAGGTGGAGTAAATCTAGGCCCTTTCTTCATGGTCTGTACATGTAATTGGTGAAGTAGACTTCAGTCCTACAACTTCATTTATTCAGACGCAAAAGGTAGCCACTGGAAATGCCCTGACAAACTAGTGTTTTTATGACAGCTTGAGAAAATATACTTTCTTGTTTAAAGTTTACTAAATTCCAGGTTACTGTATTCCTTCAAACATAACTTGCAAGAGAATTATTAGAAAGTGTGTATAATTTTGTATGTGTGTATATGTACACACACATATATAGGTGGTGTGTTTAATATTTGCTTTATCCCCCACATATTAAAAAAAATAATAATAATCTTACCTTGCCTAGTTTTGCTGGATTAGTTTCTCAATGATATTCTGTGAATGAGTATTTACAGCAACTGATTTCTGAAAGTTTTTGCTAATTAAATAAGTCACCCTAATTGTAACTTCTTATGTTTAAAAAAGGCAAAGAATATTTAAATGCATAGCAGAAAATATTTTTTTGTTTGTTTGTTTCCCTTTGGTACCCAAGGTCTTGTTTTCCTTTTGCTTTTTGAGTCAAAATCTTACTTGTTTTTCAGTTGACCTTGTCACTACAGCAGTTGTAGCTCCCTAGTCTTCAGGTGTGGAGTAATAAAGTAGAGGCTGGCAGCGTTTTCCATGTGGCCAGCTTCAGCGAGTAGCCATCCATGGAAGTCCTCCTAGACTTGTGAAGCAAAGAGAGCTAATAGGCTTTTTGACATGTGAGCTCGAACATAGCTCCTGGCTGGAGAACCTGCTGATTACTAGTGGAGGATCTGGTTTTCTCCGTGGCTTTGCCAGCAGCTGTGCTGCCACTACGTGGGGAGTGCCAGAAGGGCAAGAATGTGCAGTCAGGAACGAGAGGGTGGAGGCTGCTTCCAACTCCTTGCCAAGTGTTAACAGATAGTTTTTTGAGGAGCAGCACAGAACTTCATCTTAGGAGCACAAAATAGTAACAACCTTAAGATATTCACTGCATGACGGTTTTAAAAAATGACGAGAATGAAGTTGGCCTTGAGAAAAGTTATTAAACCCTTTCTCTGCTGGATTTTATCTAGTCTTTAGTATGCAGGTATTCCTGTTTTGTAGAGAAGCTAACTAAAGGCAGGAAAATAGTACAGAACTGTCAAGAGAGGGTTGATTGGGGTTTTTGTTTTGTTTGTTTGGTGGTTGTTGTGTTTTGTTGTTTGGCTGGCGAAGGTTTTCTGGTGAAATTAACATGTTATCTATTTGCTGTGACTTTTGTAGGCTCAGAACAAAGAAACGAAAGTACTAGCTGCTGCAAAGGTGATTGATACTAAATCAGAAGAAGAACTTGAAGATTACATGGTTGAGATTGATATTTTAGCATCCTGTGATCATCCTAATATTGTTAAGCTCCTAGATGCTTTCTACTATGAAAACAATCTGTGGGTAAGTATTTTCTTCTCTACCTGCTTTTACTTACTTCAAAAGGTTATTGAAGTTACTTTTTTTTTTCCTTGACTTGTTAAAAACATCACTTGTCCATCACATTTCTTCTGGATTGTCACTATCAGGATAACTCTTCAGTTTCAAAACTAATTCGTAGATTGCGAGTATGACTTTGGAAACTGTGACTGTAAAATCGAGTTACGCTGAGTCATTTGGTCAGGAGTCTGAATCTAAGCTTTGGGAATTAGCAGTTCATTTCGGTGTGTGTATGGAGGGAGTTCTTAGTCAGTGCTTAATTGTAACGGCAGGACTCGGATTTTAATTACATTGCCACAATTTGGAGTGATATTTGGAATCCACAGCTGAAAAATAAATAACGTGCTGAAAAGATCAGCCTGTGAAGTGTGTATTTTATATACAAGTGAATTCATTGGTACTTCCAGGAAGGACAGTTTACCAGGACTTGGACCATAATTAATTTACTTAAAATCTAGATATTTGTACATAAAAGTATGGTGGGCATAAAGATGACTGTATGTCCCACTTCTGCTGTATCCTGTGCACTGGGTAGCTTTAGCCATGTGTCCTGGTTTCAGCTGGGATAGTGAGTTTTCTCCTTCGGAGCTGGAATAGCGCTATGTTTTGGGTTTAGCATGGGGTTTGGTATGAGAAGAATGTTGATAGCACGCTGGTGTTTTTAGCTGTTGCTAAGAAATCAAGGACTTTCCAACTTCCAGTACTTTGCTAGCGTGCAGGTGCACAAGAAGCTGGGAGGGAACACAGCCAAAGCAACTGATCCAAATAAGCCAAGGGGATGTTCCATACCATGCAGTGTCGTGCTTGATATATAAATGAGGGTTGGGTGGGAGATTCGTGCTCTGTCTTCTGGGTCTGTGGTTTCAGGTGTTCTCTCCTCCGGGATCACTAGTTAGGACTGGGCTGGGCATTGGTCAGCTGGTGGTGAGCAACTGCACTCTGTATCGCTTGTTTGTATATTCTCTTAATATTATTTTTCTTTTATTTTATTCCACTTACTAAATTGTTTTTATCCCAACTTACGAGTCTCCTTACCTTTACCCCTCCAGTTGTCTCCCCCATCCCTGTGGGGCAGGGAAGGATGAGAGAATGGCTGTGTGGTGTTTGGTTGCTGGCTGGGTTAAAACCACAACACTAGGAAATACAATTTTTTCTTTTAGGTGATCCAGTGCAATGTTTATAAACGCTTTTCAAATTGTACAAAGAATACTTTTTTTTAAAAGTGTTTATAATTAAAAAAGATACCTAAAACAAGTAAACGAAAATTTCCTTGGAGTCTTAAAAATGTGCTTTATCCTTTAAGCATGAAAACAATGGAAGTGTAATACCATGTTTCCTGATGCAGATTTATTTTGATAAGCTTTGTGAAAACTTGGTGTGATCTGAATGCAGAGTAAATGATATTGTATAAAAGAGTGGAACAGTGAAAAAATTTCCATGCATAAAGGTCAGCATGAAAGCAAGTCTGCATAAAGGCAGAGTGTGAAACCAAGCGGATAGGCTTCACTGGCAGAATAAATACAGGAGGGGAGTAAATAGTTTGAAAATAAAATTGTAGCTATATAGTTACAGTGAAATGCAGAGGCAGGAAAGCAGCGAAGGGAAGGCTATAATGATGTGGTAAGTAAACAGAATTTAGTGGAGGAAAAAAGGAAAAGTATGATAGTTGGACATAAAATATGTTTTTGTTTTCCAGTTTTAGAAACACTATTTTTCTACCAAAGAGGCTTTTGTCAGGTTGTCAGATCAAACTGCAAATTTTAGAGAAAGAAATTCTTTGTTTTCAGTTTTTCACACTTAACTTACTTGGCAGTAGGTATGCAGAACCATGTAAATGGCATAATGGTATAAAAGATTTACAGAGTTGCATTATTAATACATTTGTTAGTACCATTGCTGTGAGGATTAATTATAACAGTAATTTGAATAATACGTAACATAGGTGGTGTATATATGAGTGTTATGGTATAAGGTATAATTTGACGTTTCCTCCTTTCTGGGCAATTATGCTCTGATTTTAAAAGTACTCTAAAGGAAAAAAAAAAGATATTACTTCCCAAAATATTGACTGTTAGGATTCTGACAAGAAATACTCGTTAGCTGTCAGACTGAAAATTATAATTTAAAGTTCAAATTAAAGAAGAAAAGCACATCAGGAAGGGCAGGTTGTCAGTCTTGGATGACCTTTCCTCTTTTTTGCCCTCCTCATTTCCTTTGTCTATCCTCTTTTTCCTTTGTGTATGTTCTTTCTGTCCTGCATGTCAGCACAGTTTGTGCCCCAAAGTAGTTGCAGTTTATTTTTGTTCCAAATGGAAACTGAGAACTGGAGATGGAGTTGTTCCAGTATTATTAGATTCTGGGATAAAAGCCTTGATGTATTATAGATATTAATGAAATGGAGGAATATGAATGTAAACATCTGATTTTACTGATACTACTGGAAAATCAAGTAGCTCTTACACTTGGACTTTTCAGTCAGAGAGATTGTACTAGAGAAGCAAAGCTTAATAATCGAGAAATGAGTTTGTAAGGATTATGTTCCTCACATTATAATGAGTCAGATTTGAGCTGACTGTTGTACTATGTTTGGTAAGTTTTATTACGCAATTTTATCTTTGGATTAAAACTTTTGTCTGAGGATCTCCAATAATAAAAAAATAATTTTCTTGAGCAACACAGCCCTACTTCTAGCTAGGTAAGAGTACCAATGTTTTGCAGAGGTTAGTGAAGTGATTTCTCAAGGCCAAATAGTCTGAAACTCAGGTCTGCCAATAATGCTCCCTTAATCAATGGTTCAATTCAGTGGAACTATTTAATTTGTAATTCGTGTTTTCTTTTTTTATATACAGATCCTGATTGAATTTTGTGCAGGTGGAGCAGTAGATGCAGTAATGTTGGGTAAATAATAAACTTAATAACATCTTAAAATTTTTAAATATATATATTTATTTAAGACTTCTTTCACGTGTATTTTTTTGAAATGCAAATATTTATGTAATTGATGCTCTGTATGTGTTGAATGTTGGGGGATTTAAATTAGCATTTACACCTATATCTATGGACATTATAACTTCTTAAGTTGGATTAATTTTCTCTCATTTTTCAAGTGCTTATTTGCTTCTCAAAGCACTTTTTTTTTCTTGATCTTTTAAGTGAATGTGATAAGTTGTTCTCAATGCTTATGGAGGTCTCTATTGTTATAACATAATGTGTACGAGCCCTTTTCAAGATCGCATTCTTCCCCTTCCCCTGCCATCTTCCAAATTACGTGGTGATAATTTTTTACGTTGCGTCAACCTTAAAGTTAGATTTTTCTATGGTTATTCCACAAATTAGTTAAACGCTAATACCAGTAAGTAAAAGATCTACTCTTTAACATCTTTGTGTACCATACAAAAGAACCAGTCTCTAAAGAGTGTAGCTTTTCCACAGTTCAGATAGGTAGGTCTACATAGAATCATAGGATCATAGAATAGCATAGGCTGGAAGGGACCTTAGCGATCATCTAATCCAACCTCCCTGTCATGGGCAGGGACGCCTGTCAACTAGACCAGGCTACTCAAGGCTCCGTCCAACCTGGTCTTGAATACCTCCAGGGATGGGGCATCCACAACCTCTCTGGGCAATCTATTCCAAAGTCTCACCACCCTCATACTGAAGAATTTCTTCCTAAGATCCAATCTAAATCTGTTCTCCTTCAACTTAAACCTATTTCCCCTTGTCCTATCAGTGGACACTCTTGTAAAAAGTCCCTCCCCAGCCTTCCTGTAAGTTCCCTTCAGGTATTGGAAGGCAGCTATTAGGTCCCCCCGAAGTCTTCTCTTTTCAAGGCTGAACAATCCCAGCTCCCACAACCTGTCCTCGTAGCAGAGGTGCTTCAGCCCCTGGATCATCTTTGTGGCCCTCCTCTGAACACGCTCCAACAAATCTATGTCTCTTATGGTGGGGACACCAGAACTGGACACAGTATTTGAGGTGGGATCTCACAAGAGCAGAGTAGAGGGGGAGAATCACCTCTCTTGACCTGCTGACCGTGCTTCTCTTGATACATCCCAGGATGCGGTTGGCCTTCTGGGCCGTATGAGCGCACTGCCGGCTCATGTTGAGCTTCTCATCTATGAACACCCCAAAATCCTTCTCTTCAGGGCTACTCTCAACCTACTCTCTGCCCAGTTTGTTTACATAGTTCATAATGAGGAAGGTTTTGGGTACAAAGGATGAAATTTTTACTGAAAGGAGCAAGTAATTCGTGGTAGAAGTTTTTCTGACATATGATGTTCAGAATCTGCCAGATAAATTAATTTTTGAGTATAACTCCAAACTGATTGCCATGAGCACATAATAACATGAAATGCAAAAACGTTGTGTTTATTTCTGTCTCTTTCTCTTGTAGAGCTTGAAAGGCCGTTAACAGAGCCGCAGATCAAAGTGGTGTGCAGGCAGACACTGGAAGCATTGAACTACTTGCATGAAAATAAGATCATCCACAGAGATCTAAAAGCTGGCAATATTCTTTTCACATTAGATGGAGACATTAAACTAGGTAAGCATGTTGCATATAAAAGTCTTTTTTGGAACTTTGCGTGATCTTATAATTGTGTTTTCCTTAGGCTGTTATTTGGCAGAGTTCAGTATTTATCTATTTAAATATCAATCTGACAATGAGAGTTTTTTCGGATGCAAGTGATTGGCACATCTTTCAGACTTCAAAATCAGCAGGGATAGGCGTCATATCAATATCTGTACCCAGTTGCCTAAAGTCAGACACAGGTCCTACTGTTTCTTAGTATAATGTTCTTAATTATACTTATCTTTACTATAGTAACATCAGAACTTCCCTTTTGAAGTTGTTAGTTTAGAAAATGAACATTGTTATCACCAAAAACCGGTACCTGGTACTGTTGTCTCTTCCGTTATTGAGAGAGAGAGGGAAGTAATAATCTGAATTGCTCAGCCTCATTTTTCTATGTCTTTTTTAATTGTTCATTGCACTGAAATTAAGATAGAACAGTCTGGAAGAAAATTAATATGAGCTTTCTATCGTTGGTTCCTATTATTTTATCTGAATTTAAGCAGTCATCCACATTTTCCCTCTGATGTAGTAGGGAATCCATGAGGATTCCTCCAGGAAGAACTGGCGAAGAACTGCAGGTGTTGAACAGCATCTCTTCGTTCAGCCAGGAAAATACAGAAATTATCTGGATCCTCTTTGTCCAGGTCTTCATCGGGGCGAATGCTTATAAGCTGTTGGCCTTTGCAGTGGGTCTGCTGCTGTCACAGTCCCGTGACATTGCAGCTTGCTTTCAGGCTTCAGAAACTTCTTTCTGCATGACACGTGTGATTAGTTGTACTTTTAGTTAGTTGTACTTTGGATGCAAGGTACGCAGAGGATGAAGGTAAGGAGAATCAGAAGATCACCACAGTGAACTGGGGCTCTAAATTCCCAGCCTTGCTACAGATGCTCCTTTTAAACATAATTCTCAAATATATCTGCTACCTGACTCATATTGATCACAGTGTCTTTGTAAGGTACAGTGCATCATATCTGCTGAGAAGCTGAGAGTATTGAAGAACCTGCTTTGCTAGATTGATCAGTTAAGTGTATCTGTGCTTTTCGCATGGATTCCCTTGCACAGGATTATTACCTGTGCATATACTTTCATGTGCCTTTCTCTTCACCTGCAAAGTATGGGTAAATTTACCATTTTGGCTTTTCTTGGAAGCCTGAAGATTTAGTGATGGACTCAGTCTCATAGACCTTATTTATAAATGTAATAGAACCAGTATCTTAATTTCTTAGTACTACTGTAAAAGAAATCACAGATCACAGAAAGAGTCTCGTGGTCAGAGAGAGAATCGTTTGTTTCTGTTCAGTTCATTTGCCTCACGTGACCTGGCTTCTCCTCATATGGCCTGGAACTATTTTAAGCTTTTGTCAAGTTTAGCTGATGAACAGAACTCTGCAGGCTGTCAAGATACCACTTTACAGTTCAGACCACCGGGAGATTTCTTCCACACATACATTTAGTCATGTATTCAGGTTTGCTAATTAAGATTTCTAAAAAAAGATCTACTTTAGTTTTGAAAAGTGTACAGCATCCCTCGAAAGAGCATTTTGCTCCTTTTAAACTATTTGTATTTTGCTTCTAGTACACAAAGAAATGGGCAATTCCTTGTTTTACAAATATGTGAATGGCAAATAAATTTCCTTCATTAAATTTTGTTTTTATAAGAATTTGAGTTTTATTATTTCAATATCTGTAGTCCCTCAAGATTTCAGATTTTGCATTTGAACAAATAGCTCTCTTAATCCCTTTTTTTTTCCCACAGAGCAAAATTAGGCTTCTCAAGTGTTGAGCCCATCAAGTAATTTTATACAGATTAAAGGCAGACATATGGCTATTTTGTCCCTTTGCTTAATATCTAGATCTTGATTAAGAACATTGCGTCTATAATAAGCATATAGCACTTATTTAAATGTCATCTTTTTTTCCTAAGTGAGAAATGTAGTGCTTTATAGACAAGCAATATTAATTGCAAAGATAAAGTTGATTTTTGGGTGGGTGTTACATCAAAGATGCGTATGTGAGCTTTCAGTTACATCAAAGATGCATGTGTGAGCTTTCAGATATTTTCTATAAAGTAAGAAGTCATGTGGAAGGAAACCCATAAGATAAATGGAAAATCTAGCTTTTTGAGAATGTGAATCCTGAAATTAAAAATCGAATGAGTCGTTGAATTAATGAGAGTGCTAATGTGCCATGTCTGAGGAAAACAGCCTTCATAGGCTAAAGAAATTATTTTCTAATTAAAATAATTTAACTTTCTTATTCCTATAGTAAGTACATGCATTGGTCTTGTCCCACGTGACTCAACAGTAGCATTACTTTTTTCAGCAGTGGAGAATAATGTTTATTCAATGTCTTTTATTAGCAATGCTATAGAATCTAGGCACTCAGTTATCAAAACACAATTTTTTTTATCTGGCTTTGAAGTTTTAATACTGCAGAATGTTTGCTCTGGAACACACAACGTTTTAAAAGGTGGTTGTAAAATTTAAAAATGTGATGTGTTTTCCACCACCCAGTTAACAGCATTTTACTGTTTGCTTTAAGCGGATTTTGGAGTATCAGCTAAAAACACAAGAACAATACAAAGAAGAGATTCTTTTATCGGAACACCATATTGGTAAGTGCACTGTTTTGCTGACTCTTTAGTATGAACTGATATCATAATATTACCTTGGTTAATATTGCAGGCTTGGTACAATATCTTGTCAATAAATCAAGTGAGAGTAAAATGTGCTTCTTAAAATGCTTCAGTGAATTTGTCTATTCAGAATGCTTTTCGGAGCAGATAAGAGTGCATTTTCTAATCTAGGACTTTGTTATTCTCTTTGCAGGATGGCTCCAGAAGTAGTAATGTGCGAGACCTCTAAAGACAGGCCTTACGATTACAAGGCTGATATTTGGTCTCTGGGCATTACTTTAATAGAAATGGCTCAAATAGAGCCACCTCATCACGAATTAAATCCAATGCGAGTGCTTCTGAAAATAGCAAAATCTGATCCGCCTGCATTAGCACAGCCTTCAAAATGGTGAGTATCTAATTTACAACTTGCCCAACCCCAGCTGTAGATTTTGAGGATGAGGCACACCAAGTCACGTGTGTACTGAACTTACGTTCATGTCGAGCTTTACGGGACTAGCTTTATGCATCAAGTCAGGTACATGTTCTGTACGTGTTCGTACATCTAAACATACCTCTCTATAGATCTTATAACTGGAACTATGGCTTTTTTGTTGTAGTTCTGCACAGAAGATTTTATAGTGAAGTATTCTGCAGATTTTGCATTATAGTGTATGCAAAATAGCTTTTTGCAAATGCAGTAAAAGATCTGAAGGCCATCTGAAAAAGAAAATTAAGTGAAAGGAGACTAAAGTATTTTTATACAAAGAAAACATTTTAAAAAGATGTGTTATCTATTTGTTCATTTTAATATCTGATTCCGTTAGCGATATAGTGGAATGTGTGTATTATAAACTCAGAGCCAAGAGTAAAGTCTTCTGTAAATGGAAGAACATTTTAAAGGTTGGGTTTGTGCCACGTTGGCTTCTGCCTTCCTGTGCTGTCTCGTGTTTCTCTGAATCGATAGCAGGACCTGGAGCTGCAGCGTAGATGCATACGAAAGCAAAAGTGTGTTTCACTGTACACTAGTCTGATGTCAAGACAAAAGAAAAACCGCTATCCGATTGCTTTTTGTGTAGGTCATCAGATTTTAAAGATTTTCTGAAGAAATGCTTGGAAAAGAATGTAGATGCAAGATGGAGCGCAACTCAACTTCTGCAGGTAGGAAGAGTTAATTGTTCAGAACTATTGTTTAAAAGCAAGCGTATTTTTTATTTTTCAGAGTATTTTATTTATATTTTTCAGTATTATAGTAACTATTTAAATAACTTCAAACTAAATATTCATACACAATCTGGTTTTAACATTGCTGCATTGTTCTTTATTTGGTAATTAAATGACACCAAGCACAGATCAGATTCTTTGTTTACATATTTTGATGTAATACAACTAATTACATAAGTATTTAAGTTTTACTTTGGTACTTATAATGGATGAAGGAGATATTTACCTAAGTAGTCAATTGCTGACAGGCTTTTTAAAAGCTTTAGTGCTCAGCCTTCCTCTATAATGCTGTCATTGCAGAATAGCTAAACAAGAGTAGATGTGACTGAGTACACTGGATTCCGTTTAACGTCAGCATGCATTTACTTTATCCAGAATACATCCGGCATGTGTTGAATAGATTTAAGCAGCAGGGCCAAGCAGAGAAAGAAGATTCAGACAGTAGGAGAGGAACAGGTAGCTGTTTCTTCTTAAAGAAAAATACAGAATTCTGTCGTCTTGTTAGGAAAAGTTGTTCTAAAGACAAAGCAGACTTTTTCTGGAAAGAATAATTCTAGATAAAGCTTATCAGAAAACAGTTAAACTGTGGAGCTGAAAAGAAATGAAACCCATTTCCAGGAAAAATAACATTTTAAAAAACCTTTCTACTTTTATTCTTTGGATTGTGAAACAGGTCAGTATAAGTGACTTATTTTTATTCTTAGCAAGTTTGTTAGACTACTTACACGGTATATTTGAATACGAATGTTTTGCTTTTAAAACTTCTGCAGAAAAAAATGCTTAAGATGATTATGATTAATGTTAGTTGTGAATCCTCAAGTTTGAGAAAACAAAAGTAACATTTCTCTGAAGTTATATTTCTTTCAAGTTATGATTTTCCCATTGTGTACAATGAAGTCAGCACTTAATATTGTGCTTATTTTTTGTTTTCACAAGCATCCGTTTGTTACTGTAACTTCCAATAAACCAATAAGAGAATTGATTGCAGAAGCTAAGGCTGAAGTTACAGAAGAAGTCGAAGATGGTAAAGACGAGGATGAAGAAGAAGAAACAGAAAATTCTCTGGTCAGTTTAAAAGTTACTCTTTTTTTTAAATATGCAGCTACTTTCAATCACTAGTTTCCTACGGAGAACTCAGTTTCTGGTGCTGCTCAACTTTTGCATCAAGTCTTCTAAGAATAACAGCATAAACATACTGTAATATTAATACAAAATAAGTAGTCAGTGTTTTCAAAATTAGTGTGCTCTTAAACTCCTTAAGAACTAATAATAAAGAATATTACCTAATAAAGAATATTATTTTCATTTATTTTTATGAATATATGTAGTGTAGAATTTTAAAAATCAGATACCAATTATGTGAGGAAATCTTTTAAATGCACTTTTGACTTAAAAGGAATTGTTTTCTGTGTGCTTAGGAAAACCTTAAGGTAGGAAACGGGCAATCAAACCCTGCTCGTTACCATAAATAGCTAACCTGGTTACGTTCCTCATGGCAAATCAGAAGCCTCATCTGCAAATTACAGGGTTCTAACAGTAAACACAGGCAGAGATATTGCAATCACTTTGACGAGTGAAAGGGCAATTGTAGTTAAAATGATACTTTATTAGTATATTCTTTTGCATGGCCGTGTAATCTGGTAACATTCATCCATAGTCTGGCCGCAGCCATTTCTACAGCTGTGTAACTGTCTCCGTTCTGGTTCCGTACTGCCACTTAATCAGATCTGCTGGAGGTTTTCACCATTTCAGTGGAGTTTTACAGTGATTAAAAACAGACCAAAAATTTTTCAGACATTTTTAACAAAGAACACAATGAAAGGCGTTCTTTTTGGTGAAGCAGAAGTGGTCCTAATATTGCGTTTTTGTTAGTGCTGCACCGACTAAAGCCACACAGCTTCTTCCTAGCCAAAATGGCACAAAGACGTGTCTTTGAAATCCAACTGTAGATGGGACTACTGGGGAACTGAACTAATAATTAAAAAAAAGCAAAATGATTGGAAAAAGACTCTTGGAGATTCTGTTAAGTGTGAGGCAGAGGGCTGACCATGGTTCCCTTCCTTCAATCACAGTATTTTTTACTGAATTATGAGGGATGGAAGAGATTTCTTGTGAAACCATTCTGTTCAGAGCTTGTCTGCAGCTCATATGCTTGTTCTGTGGTAATACCAAGTAAAGAACTCTGAGATTATAAAATTCGTATAACTCCGCCTGTAAATACAATATTCATCTCTGTCCAGGTAGTCTTCAATAGAACCGTGCTTTAAGTTAGAAGATGATTAAATATTTTTCTTCCTTTAATTTTTTAGCAGTTACCTGCAGACAAGCGTGCATCCTCTGACCTTAGTATTGCCAGCTCTGAAGAGGATAAACTTTCACAGAATGCCTCTGTTCTGGAATCTCTTTCTGAGAAAACAGAAAGTAATGCAATTGAGGACAAAGCCAGCACTGTATTTCCGGATGACAAAACAACTGGAGATGAATCTGAGGACATTAAATTTAGGAAAACAGCTGATAACATTTGTGATACTGCTGCTGATGGTACGAAAGTGCAGAATGGCTCTGTGCCAACTGGTGAAGATGACAAAGGGAAAATATTGTCAGCTGAGAAGACTAGAGAAAGCCTGGAAGAAGCACATGAAGATACGGAACCCCAGAGAGGAGGGAAAGAACTTGATGCTGTAACAAAATCAGAAATAAAAGATGAACCCAACCTAAAAATAGAGAAAGAAAATGACATGGGAAATGAACAGACAGAAGATAATACACCGAAAATAGTACCTACAGCTGAAACTAGTACAGAAACTGAAGAAGCCATTTCTAAGGAGACTCGTGAAAAAGAAGAGAAGGAAAACAGAACAGATGTCTCGGAAAGCAAGGAAGAAAAGGTCCCTGCAGAAAATACTACAGAGCAAAAGAAAGATAAAGATGAAGGTCAGAAAGAGGTAATAGACACCACTGCAGAAACTCCACCCAATGCTGCAGATAAAATGGCTGATGAAGAAAAGGAACTAATAAAGCATGGAATTGACAACGTTAAGGAGATAGGTGATATTGCTGAAACACGGATCAGTGATGGGGATAAAATGCCTGAGACTGAGGATAAGCCAGTGGAAAGTCAGGCTAAGCAGGTCCATGAGATAATCAGCTCTGAGGGAACTCTATCGGAAAGCCAAGATAAAGTGATCAAAGTAGACAAGAAACCGGCAGAAAGTGAAAACGAGGATATTTGTAATATAAGCAGTGTGGAGGAAACAGAGATCGAAGACCGTGGAAAAGATGACATAGACCAGAAGGCAATACAGAGCAAACCTGAGGATATTTTAAATAAAGTGGTGGATAAGCTGACTGACATGGACCAAAATGCAGAAGGGCACAGACCTGAGAATATCCAGGAAAACAATATCCAGGTAGACAAAGAACATGTGGAAGTTACTTCTGATGAAATAACGAAGAATAAGCTTCAAGATACTGCTGGTGAACAAGCCGATGACTCTGAGGTGGCTCCGGTCCCCAGTATTAGTATTAGCACTGAAGAAAATGAGAGAGTCAAAACAGATAATCAAGACAACACTGAAACTTTACAGCAGCTGGAATCAGAGAATCTGAAGGAAAACGATGCAGATTCGGGCACTGGTTCTACAGCTGACAATAGCAGCATTGATTTGAACTTGTCAATTTCTAGTTTCCTTAGTAAAAACAAAGAGACGGGATCGATATCTTTACAGGTAAGTATAAGCAATAATATATTTTCATATAAAATCCAGTGTGAGCGTGAGCCTAAAATTATCTCCGAGTTCGACCTTTGCAATGAAGAACATTTATTGAGTGAGAAATTAGTAAGAGAGTGTGGAATACAAAACTTTGTTGAAACCACAGTATTCTGAATTGCACGCTCTAACGCTGTCTGGATTTCGTGCAGTTATGCAGCAAAGCTGGAAGCTACGGCCCTGCTGATTTTTTTCCTGACTTTGTTACATAATTGTACTTTAACAATGGGGACTAGCGTGTAACAAGAAGTCTGACAATATTAGAGGTGAAGATTGGCGGATGGTTGTAGTTCATAGCTGATACTCAAGAAGACCAGTTCAGTGCCTTACTCTGCACAGAATCCCTGTTTAACAGGACAGATCTCTTAAAACATCTCATCTTATGTTGAATTCCTGTCGCTTCCATCTTCTGTCTCTCTGTTTAGATTCAGAAGCTCTAAGGCAGACGGTCTCTCCAGTTTGTTTATTCTGAACACTGTACTCCTCTGGCTGTGCTATATCAGTGCGATCGTGCCAGTACAAATGAGCTTCTGAACTTCATTTATATCTTTACGCTAACATGGTTGTAGCCCTACTAGGATAGTAACTGCGTAACCAGGGGGTTGAAGAAAAAAACCAAACACAGCGCCAAAAAACTCACCCAAATAAAAATCACGACTTGGCATAGGTGTGCTGAGCATGGCTTCAGGATGTTTGCAGCAGCCCTGGCACAGTGGAGACAGTTTCCGCCGGGGTCTCTCTTCTCTTGCGATGAAACAATAGCAGCTCTGAGAAGTGAGATTGCTCCAGTTCTGTCGGCAAGATCGTCACATGGTTTTTGATTAATATACGTGACTAAAAAAAATAAACTCGGTTGTTTAATTTATTTCCAAAGCAGAAGTAAGTAGGTGAGTAAATTACTGTTCTGTTCCAGTACTGTTTTTTGGAATTAGATATCTTTTTTTGGTGACTGGTAAAATTATGGTCAAAAGCAAACAGTAACCACAACTGTCTTCAGCTCTTGAAAATAAAACTGCATCAGTTCTGTTCAGGGTTTAATCTATTTTTTTTTCTACTTCTGGCAATTTAGATGATTTATAATTACAGTTTTCCTTTGCTGACTAGAGAAAGTTTCATTACGTTAGAATTTTTCAAGTTCTCACTTGACTGGTGAGGTACCTGATAAGCGAGAAGAACTCCTAATTGCTATATGGTAGGCCTTCATGGAAATATTTGAATTTAATATTAAGAAAAAAGAGGAAAATAAGTACAGAATAACTCTACCAATGCTTTATTCAGGAAACTAGAAGACAGAAAAAGACTTTAAAGAAAACTCGGAAGTTTGTTGTTGATGGAGTAGAAGTGAGCGTAACCACATCAAAAATAGTTACTGAAAATGACTCGAAAAGTGAAGAAATGCGATTTCTACGGTAAGTGTTTCTAAAAGTAAAATTTACAAGAGGTTAGCAGCTAATTCTTTTATCTTTGCATGAAAGGAGGAGGCTAATGATCTTATTTCTGTAATACTTGGCGATTAATTTCAATTCTGTTAGTGGAAAGTAATGCAAACTGTTTCTTAATAAGACAATCAATTCAAAACCAATTTTACTGGACAGAAGTTGTAGATGCTTTTTTCATCTTTTGTAATTTTCCACTTCTTTTGTTTTCCTATCAATATTAGACGTCAGGAGCTAAGAGAGCTGAGGCTTCTTCAGAAAGAGGAGCAGAGAGCCCAACAGCAACTCAGTAATAAGCTTTTGCAGCAGCGAGAACAGATGTACAGGCGTTTTGAACAAGAAATGACAGTGAGTTTCTGGATTTTGGTGCTCTTGAAATGTGACTTCTTGACGGAGTAGGCAGAATACTGCTGGCAGCAATCAGGTGTTTCCTGCTCTGATGGCTATAGCTTAGTTTTCATTCCAGCTAATGAATGGCCCTGTTTTCCCTTGCGCGGTGCCCAGCTTGTATGCTAGAACTGACCTGCCAGAACAGTTCCTCACGGCCATCCTCTGCTGTGGTACAGCACTTCACTGAACAGATTTTAGTTTTCTAAAAAAAGATGCCAAATTGTATTTACAGAGTAAAAAGCGACAATATGATCAAGAAATAGAAAATCTGGAAAAACAGCAGAAACAGACAATAGAGCGCTTGGAACAGGAGCACACAAATCGGTTACGAGATGAAGCAAAACGCATCAAAGCAGAACAGGAGAAGGAATTGTCCAAATTCCAGAACATGCTGAAGAACAAAAAAAAAGAGGTAAGAGACAATGATGATAATACAGAAAATAAGGAGTGTGGGTGTAGCAAACGGTTGAGATTAGATCTCCCAGAAGCCGTGTCAGCCCCGTGTGCTGTACCGAGTTGTGGAAGGGTTACTAGCAGTCAGTATTATTTCTTTCATTTTGCTGCCTAAAGTGAAATACAAACAGCTAACAGGAAGATTTAGGTATCGACTCGATCTAGAAAACATCACCAAATTACAAGACTTCATTTTTCACAGTGTCTTTAATAAAATAGTTTTTCTGAAATATTAAATCAAGAAGTATTTTCTCAAAGATTGTGAAAAATACTTCAGATTTCTACTTTAAACAAATCCAGCTATAGCTACTTGGTAAATACTTATCAAATTAGAATGACAAAGGAAAGAATATGGTCTTGATTACTACCAAGAACCACTTAAATTCCAGAGATGGGGTTTTTTTGGTTAATTTGTTAGATTTTTATTGAATGTGTGCTGCTGTTGTTTAGAATTCCTTTATATGAAATGACAGCAGTGATATGGATTTAGTTTAACTCAAAAAGGAAAGCCAGGACAGAAAAGTCTGGATAACCTAAAATCTTGTGCAGCTGATTTCATAGGTGTCATACAGCTAAGGCAAAATGGATGACATTAGACACTGACACCTTACGCCATTGATTTGCTTGCATTAGAGTAAGAGAAGGTGATGGGTTTCGATACAGATTTTGCATCTTAAAAGCTGTTTTATTTCATTTTCAGATGAGTCGCGTAGTGCTCGTTCGTATATAAACGGCTCTAGTGTTTGTTCTGATAGTTACCAGACTCGGAGATTTCGTGACAAATCCATACTGTCCATGCTTTTGCATAGAGTGATCCTGTAGTACAAAAGTGCATTAAAAAATGTCAGTTGTATTTGGTTTGAACCATATGCTCATATGTAAATAACGATTTTTATTCTTTTGCGGTGCCTCTTGCATTTTTGAGCTCTCTCTATTTACTGGTGATTGGGTCCTACATGGGAAAGCGGGAAGAATTTTACGTGTTGCTCTGAGCTCAAAGCAGTTCTTTCATGGAAACAGGAATAGCATGTGGTGATTTGGACTCTGTTTTCTGATTATGCTTCCACTATCAAACAAACAGGCGTTTGTCTTTGGGTGCACAGTTTTGTATTTAAAGCTTAAGACGACAATTTGAAGGAAAATGCAGCTGGTGCTCTAAAACTACCCATGCTATATCAGAGTGTGCAATGTTACATTTTTATAATTCTTAAAAATAAATAAAACACATCAGAAAATTAACAGATTAATAGTTGATTTAGCCAGGTTATATTTAGAATCTTTCTACTAATCTAGTCTAATTCACCTTGGACTGAAACATGTTCCATTCCAGCATACATGTCATGAAAAGTTTCTTGAAAACGTACTTAGTTATTAATGAGTTTTGCTTTTAAATTCTTCAGAACCAGACACTTAGAACCACCTAATATTTTGTTTGTAGATTATTCTAAAGACATAACCCTTGTAGATGCCATTTACTGTTGGAGACACTAATGATGGCATCTTACAAATTCATGTTTGAGACAGCGTCAGAAGTAGCTGGTTTTCAGTGGAAGTTGTTTTAAACTTCCAACCATTTTTCACAGCTTTTCCTTGAGATCAACATACTCTGTAGTCCTTTTGCCATAGTGCTTCAAGAAAATACCACTCGCGCAGGTGGTGGTTTTCTTAAGCGTCAACTATTGTGGCCGCTGCATGAAATGGCGAGCAAGAGGTGGCCGTTTCTGAGAGCGCTGGGCAGCACTTGCACGCAAAGAGAGGCTGGCACGTTCCTCCTTTCACGTAACGCACGCGCTGTCCCTTCTCTGCTCCTTGCGCTCTTTTCACCGAACTAACACCCCTGCCGCTGCAGTGATGCACGCTTCCCAGTACCTCTAGTGCTTGACCTGCATGTCCTATGTTCACAGTAATGCTCGCTGTGGAGAAAAAGTGTTCTTTTTGCCACCTTCTGCATGCTTATATACACTGTAGGTTTTGTGTGAAGTGGAGAAAGCACCAAAAGAGCTGAGAAAAGAGCTCATGAAACGCAAGAAAGAGGAGCTTGCACAAAGCCAGCATGCTCAGGTAACAACAGCAGCTTCAAGCTACTAAAATACAAAAGGCAGCAGTATTCACACGGCTTGATGATTTCACTTCTTGTTGTTGTTGAGTGAATATGGAACTTAACTCAAACTAACCCTGCGTACTGCTCTCTCTCTTCAAGTACTCCCGTATCACATCCCGTAGAGTGTACTGTGTAGACACGTAGCAGCAGCCTTTTCCAGGTTTGTGCTGTGAAGTGTAGTATTTTGTATGCTGTACTGAAAAAGAATGGTATTTTCCTTCTGCACATTTATTTACAGTGCTTTTATGAGTGGTAAGTACCCCATAGGTCCATCAAATTATAATAAAGGTTATGGTCAGAACTAAGTTTTGAGCAGTATAAGCGCAGGGAGGAAAACGTACGTAATATGTAAGTGTGAGGCATCTTGTTCATAGAAGCGGAACAGATGAGGTAAAATGAAGTTATTTAAATGTCAAAGGGTAGGTGTAGGAAAGCTTTACAAGACGTCATAGATAATTTCACGCCTTCAGACTTGCTACTTTTATATGACCCAGCTAGAAAGGGGGCTAGAATTTTGGAAAAATACTGGCTTTGTGATGGCCACAGCTTGTACAGAGTGAGTTTGCACCACAGCAGAGCAGGCTTGTTTTGAGTAACTTAAAGATGGAATGTTTGTGTGAGTGGCCTAGCAGAAAATAGCAGCAACTTTATTTGATCAGGTGTCTAATGGAGGAGGGGATTTCCCAGGATAGAATGTGACTTGAGTTGCAGCACGTGTCTCTGCACTTTTTAAGGAAACAATTAAAAACCTACATTTTCATAGTGTTTGTAGTGACTTTGTTTCCTTTGCTTGTTTCAATTTGTTCACGTGAGCAGGGTGAAAGACAGTTTCAAAGGTGAAATATCCTTACTTGCAATGATAAGTACTAGACAAGGTGCAGATGTTTAGTTGTAGAGTATCTAGAACTTCTGGCAGTGACTACTTTTGCGTGATTAGCCTTGACGTTTTAAATGTATATTACTAACATACAGCAGATCTCGTTTCTTCTTTTTTTTTTTAAGAACAGAAATATATTTCGTTATATTCTGACATAGGAAGTACATTGTGTCCCGCAGGGTGTTGCTCAGGTTATGATTCAGTCTTTTCAGTTGTCTTCATGTACACTTTTCAACGCACAAATGCAGGATGTAAGTTGTGAAACGCAAAGCAACAAAAGTTTTATTTCCCTGATTTTCCAGATGTGTGTTTTCTCTTCTCCTTCTGCTCATATGTGCTGATCAATGTCACTGCTGTCTCCAAACTAGTTTGCATAAATATGTGTAATTATGCACTATTCATAGTAAAAAGATCAAAATTATCAGTAGTTATTAACTCTGGGGAAGACACTGAAGTTTCACACAAATGCAGCATGGTACTGTGTTCTCTGGTGTTTTGGTTGTTCAGCACATGTGAGAAACAATGTGTGACTTCTGTGCTGTGTGTGCAGTGAAACCATGTATTTTAAAGATATCTGAGTTTATTTTAAGATACTTTTTGGGCAAAACCAAGGGATAATTTTAAAAAGGCAGACTGCCTTGCACTGTCTGCCTTTTAACCACCAAACGTGTTCTTTAGTAAAGTCTGTGGCCTTTATTGTGTGTGACACTTGAGTAGACGTGGGAACTAGAAGGGCCAAAGGATTTTCCGAGATTGCCTGGTTTATCTTTTGGTGCCAGCAATTATAAATCTTCTTAAGATTTACCATGCAGAAAGAGCAACAATGATACTTAAATGATTGAGTAAAGCTCAAGCATAATTGCTTTTTGACCATGACTACTCTAGAGCAGCTTTCCCCCCACTCCCTCCAAATGAAAAAAATTCCTGACAAATTAAACACCGTCTTAATTATGTGTCTGCACCTTCAGAATAATCAACTTGGAGCTTTCCTATCCTTTTCATCTGGAAAGGGGATCAGAACAGTATTTTCATCAGTCTGTGTATTTGATGAGGTATATCTGACTTAATTTACAGACATGGCCTTCCCGTTCCTTTTGTACCCTCACATCTGCCACTGTCAGAACTGCTGTCCACTGGGAGAGATGAAAGCCTCATCTATGAATAACTTTCTGTGAAGATGGAAACCAGGATTCTCCTGGTCATAATAAAAAACACTTTTAATGAACATTTAATTCTGTATGCTGCTGACAACTCTTTTAGCAAGTAGCACAGGTTCAGTAAAAAAATATAAACGCATAGCTCAGGGGACCCTTCCACTGATCATCTGTAGCCCAGTACTGTTTTCCTGCCTTATCCCATCTCCCTTCCGATAGACCATCTTTAACATTGCTTTGTTACATGTAACAGCAAATGCTTCAGCTGCCCACCTTGGCTCTGATAGGACACTGCCATCATCCTTCCTTTTGACCATTACATCATGGTAGAAACATCTGCTTTAATTTCTTGTTCCTAAAGAGTGCGTGTGTGCATGCTTGCATGCTTATAGATGTGTTGTCTTGGGGTTTTGGGGGTTTTTGGTAGTTGCTGAGAAGAAAGGCAGCAGTATGGTCTTGGTGCATGGGAGGGGGATTCCTACTGCTTTCTGCTTTTCATAACGTGATGCAATGGAGTGATACACCCTGGATGATGGGAAGATGCGGGTGATGTGGGGACTGCATCAGGCAGACTTTGCGAGGAGCCAGCTCAGCTCAGCTCAGCTCAGGGGTGACAAGCCTGCAAGTCCTGCAGAATGCAGTTCCTGCAAAAGCCGTTGGGTGTCTTCGTAGCAGTCTTGCACAGCTCCCAATCTCAGTATCTTTGTGTTTGTGACCAGACAAACCACTCAAGATTGAGAAACAAATCTGAAACCTAGCTGTGTAAATAAATAGATTTTAACTAATTATCCAAAGCAAAATAACCATACACACTTTTATTTTCTTATATCCGTGAGTAATTAGCCCTTGGTATGATGAGATCAGCTTTGTATTTATCGTTGCTAGCTTTGAACCTGCAGCTTGTTTTGAGGAGGGACAAGAGATGTAATGAGTTGCAGATTGCTGAGTAGTTTATTGCCTTCGGTCTTGTTTCTGAAGGTATTATTTAAACATTAAATATGCTCTCACCTACTCTCTACATAGAACATACAAGAGATGCATAATTTTATACCCGAGGCATGTTTGTTCAAATTTTCATAGATCTATTTGTTTTCATGTGTAGCTAATGCTGAGAGAACTGGGAGTTTCATTAAAATGTAATGTGGTTAGAAGAATGCAATTTAATTTACTTCTGTTGGTTTTTACCAGGAGCAGGAATTTGTGCAGAAGCAGCAACAAGAACTGGATGCATCTCTGAAGAAAATTATTCAGCAGCAGAAGACAGAACTAGCCACTATTGAACGAGATTGTCTCAACAACAAACAGCAACTCATGAGAGGTATCCAGCATCAGATTCCCCCTTTGGAAACAGACGTTTGTGTCGTATTTTAATAAAACAATAGTCTGTCTTAAACTTCTGAAATCAAAGACCTTCCTGACTAATCTAGAACTGCAATAAAAACGTGCTATGGAATAGCATTGTTCTTAAAACGCACTTGTAGGCTGCTTCTAAACATACATTAGTGGGTAGAGTTATAAGTATTGTACTGTACTTTCTGAACCAACCTTCCTCTTTTTTCCAGCTCGTGAAGCTGCAATCTGGGAGCTGGAAGAGCGACATCTACAAGAGAAGCACCAGCTCCTCAAACAGCAACTCAAAGATCAGTACTTCATGCAGAGACACCAGCTGCTCAAGAGGCATGAGAAGGTTGGTGCTGACTTTGACACTTCCTTTTGTGTGTTATAGTATCCGGTTTGTTTATCAAGTAGTCTTATGATCTCTACTGGTAGCTGTTTGATTGCACAGACAAGAACCACACCGGTATTTTGAAGCTGTGTATGTTCTGTTGAAATAAAACATTCTTAATTGTCTTACTGGAACATACTGCCAAGGTATTAAAGTATAAGTGGTCATATTTTTCTCTTCTGATTCTTAAAAAAAAACCAAGAACCACAACATCAATCTTTTTCTATTAAAAATATCAAATTCTACTTATACACCAAAACCAGCTTTGGCTTGTGTTTAAATAAACCTACTCATTAGTAAATCATCCTGGAATGAAACGAGCAGAATGAACTGGATTAGCTTTTGGGCAAGTAGCTGACAACTGTCTCTTCATAGCTAAATCCTATAAAAGTGCAGAAGACAACAGTTACTTTCCACAAGGCGTTTTGGGTTTTGTAGCATGCACTAAGCAGAATAGTTCAATTTTTGAAAACACAAACCAAATAGAGAGTTATTACAGGGTCTCCTTGGTGACTGGAGCATGAGCAGCCTCCACGGAAGGTTTGTTTCTCTATGGTTTGGTTTATCCTGTAACGGCTGCTGCTTTCAGCAGCTTTTGCAACAAACTGACCCTTTACAGCTGCAGTAGTGGGAGTTCAGTTCCACAAGTTTCTCCCTTTGAATAACATGGATGTTTTAAAATGCAATTCAAGAGTTGAACAACCACTGGTAAAATATGTGTGTATTCATTATTCATATTCATTAGAGAATTCCATCTGGGTTGGGCATGATGCAGAGCTCTGTGGAATAAGTGGAAGACCCCTTCCTGCCCATTGATATCACTAGGACTGGGTCTGGTTTCTGTTGAAAGAAGCTGACTCAAACAGCATGCTTATTGGTGAAATGAGATGCAGATATTCTAACATAATAGTCGCTCTGTAACATCTCCGTACGGTTAACGTTTTAGGAGACAGAACAAATGCAGAGATACAATCAACGCCTTATCGAGGAGTTAAAGAACAAGCAAACTCAGGAAAGAGCGAGACTGCCTAAAATCCAGCGAAGTGAAGCAAAGACTCGAATGGCTATGTTTAAGAAAAGTTTAAGAATCAATTCATTAGCCTCTCCAGACCAAGATCGTGAAAAAATTAAGCAGGTAATTAATAAAACCAGTTTTAATAATTTACATGCTTAATGTGATGTAAATGTGAGGATGGGATAGGGCGCACTCTCAGAAAGTTCACAGGTGGTACAAAACTGGGCTGATGCACTGGATGAGGTCAAGGAAGTCATCCTTCCCCTCTGCACTGTTGAGACACTTCTCGAGTGTTGGGTCCAGTCCTGGGCTCCCCAGTACAAGACAGACATGGATTTACCGGAGCGAGTCCTGCGAAGGGCCTTGAAGATGACGGAGGGACTGGGGGTCTTGTTATAGGAGAAGAGGCTTAATACCTGGGACACGTCAGCCTGGTGAAGAGAAGGCTCAGGAGGATCTTATCCGTGTGTATAAGTACCCAGTGGGAGTGAGTAAAGAAGGTGGAGCCAGACTCTTCACAGGGGTGCCCAGTGGCAGGATGCGAGGCAGTGGGCACAATCCAAATACAGAAAATGCAACTTAAATGTAAGAAAACACATTTAGTGTGAGGATGGTCAGACACTGGGACAGGTTGCCTAGGAAGGTTGTGGAGATATTCACAACCCAACTGAACACATTCCTGCACAACCTGTCTAGTTGGCCCTAATCTGAGTAAGGGGGTTGATCTTCACAGGTCCCTTCCAACCTCAACTGTTCTGTGATTCTGTGAAATATTTTTAAGAACATTTGATTTTTGTGAGCTTTTAAACTAAAACTGTAGGTACTCACTTATTCTTCAAAAGGGAGTGTTGCAAAGAGGTTTAGAGATTTCCTCTGTACTGATGCACAAAAAAAACAAATCGTGGTTTCGTATGGTGAGCCCTGGAAGGATGAAAAACCTGGAAAATACAGTCTCCTGTAGCTGTATAACACCACCCTTAACAGACACGTGTAGCAATGCAGCTGTGTCACTTGGCTTCAGAGCGAGGTCATTTCAGGAGGCTGGAAGTGAAATGCTTGTGTTTTAAGGAAAAATTAGGCTGCAGACAGAGAAATGGAATGATAGCCAAAGCTGTGAGGGCATTCCCTTTGGAAGAATTTAAAAAAAGAAAGAATAAAGAAAATACAGTTATTGTTTAAATTTTAAAACCATTCTTTTCAGTTATGCTGTTACGTATGCGTTTTGTTACATACGGTTTTTGACTCATGTAAACTGTTTCTCTAAAAGCACCACATAAGCCATCTTTTTATTTTTAATTTTAGTTTGCTGTTCAAGAAGAAAAGAGACAGAAGAATGAGAGACTGGCTCAGCATCAGAAACACGAGAATCAGATGCGGGACCTTCAGCTGCAGTGTGAGGCAAACATCAGAGAACTGCATCAGCTACAGGTTAGAAACATGATATTAAACGAGCGTTCAGGAGGGAGACCCGGGTTAATAACGTCGCGGGCGAAGCAGAAGCATCTTTTCCTCCATTTTTACTGACTGGTGTAGATTTTTTCCACCTTTGCTTTTGAAGGCCTGCAGCGTACTGTTTAACCAGATTCATATGCTTCCATTAATTACTGAGAAATCATTTTACATGCAAGAAGAGCATCAACCAGAAGCAGGTGATCACTTCTAGAATATCTATCAAGTTCCCAGTGCTATTTTCGGTAGGCAAGGTTTCCTTTTAACCTGATTTTGCTGAAATACCGTGAATCAGAACAGAGGTAGGCAGCATCAGGCGTTACCCATGAGACATCCGTAGCTTTACACGGAGTGAGGCGCTTTCTAGAAGCGCAGGCTGCTGTGCGTACTTGAGCTGCTGGAAGGTACTTAGAAGGAATTCTCTGCTTGCATAAGGAACTCTATTCTGTCCCTTCTGGTAGGCATTTTGTAAAAGTTGCTGCTGTATATGAGAGGCCAGATCTCCTTTGCCACTAAATCTGCTTTTCGCTGTTTCAGGGACACAAGGGAGTTTTAAAGCATTAAATGATCACCTGCTGATAACCTTTGTGTAGAGAAATCTTCCAATGACCAATGAAGCTGCTTCTACTGTATTCACTTTCTTACATCTTGCGAAAACAGTCCCTGACTGTGCCACTAATACGGCTCAGTAAATCCCCCAGTACCGTGGGAGACTTGTGAGACTTTCAGCTCAAGTAAAATTGAGCAGATTAGGGCTCCGCCGAGCTTCACTGAGAAAAATTTGCCCCTAGCTGCACTCTGGTCTGCCAAGTGGTTGTCGTTTTTGCTCCTGTGGTTTTGTGCTCTGTGTCAGGCCCCGTTGGGACTGGAACCCTAGAAAGAACAACATGGGGTTTAGTGACTGCCATTGCCAACTGCTCTTAAAAATCAAAGATTTGATGTCGCTGAATACTTAGGTTTTTTTCTTATCATGCTTCAAAAGTCCTCTGAAAGTTAGGCAGGTGCATGTGTACCTTACACTCAGAGGAACGTGAAGCTGATGTGTGGTTTGATTGTCCTTTGCCTTTTTATAGGGCGATTCTGAGGCTGCTTCTGCAAGCAAATTTCTCTCCTGTCTAAGCCCTGTTAGTCAGCTCCTTGGCACCAAGAGCTGAAATATTTCCAAAAACTTACCTCCTTTCAGTGTAATTTATTTTAATATATGACACAAACTGTCTTTAAAAAGCAAAGCAGAAATGCTGTATGACCTTGAAAAGCATTATTAGGCAGTTAAACACTTTTGAGTAGCACTGTCAGCTGCTGTCGTAGTGATACTCAACAGTATATTTGGATTTACAAGTATTTCTTATCTCAATTGGTTCTGATGGCAAGATCAGCTTTTGATAATGCAGCCTCGTAACATACTTTTATCTTGTAATTATTCACGTCACTATTTACACGGAATAAGCTAATTAAAAAGAATTAGGACAACATATGTCACTGTACAAATGTTGAGTTGCCTAATCTGAATTAGTTTTACATAAGGATTATCTTTACCTTGTCTTAAGAATGAGAAATGCCATCTACTGGTCGAGCATGAGACTCAGAAGCTAAAAGAGCTGGACGAAGAGCACAGCCAAGAACTGAAGGAATGGAGAGAGAAATTGAGACCAAGAAAAAAGGTAAATTGGAGCAGTGTATGAATCAGAAAATAATCACGAGTTGGATCTAGCCAATACAGACAATACAAAAAGTATCCCAGAGGAGGAGAATCACGCTACTGTACATAACTACTATAGGTCACCGAATAATAAAAGATGCTATTAAAAATGGGCAAAAGCTGAGCAAAGGACATGTGCAACAAAAAAAGCTTGCGTGTTGTCAGCCTCTTCCTGTATTCCTCTCGCAGGGATTGTGTGCATGTTTGCATGTAAAACTTCGTAGCTGGAGGTAAATGTGATTTTAGGAATGTATTTCAGAAGCCAGTAGGTTACTATGAAAATGGAGTGCTAAATAACAAACAGAGGGTGGTGGAGTTGGTTCTGGGTTTTACATTTTGTTTTAAAATGGAAAGTACTAGATTTTCAGACAGTTCAGAGAGTATCCTACAGGCAGATGATGTTATTAGCTTGCTGGGTCTTGGTTGTCTTGCAGTTTTATAACTGGTAGGTGATTTTTTTTTTTTGTGATGGTGTGTGAAGTTACGATCTTACATCAGACAGTGTGTCACCAGTATAATAGGTTTCTTGTACTTTGCCTTGTAATCCTGTGACAATCTGATTTGGGTTTTAGACGCTGGAAGAAGAATTTGCCAGAAAACTGCAGGAACAGGAAGTTTTCTTTAAAATGACTGGAGAATCTGAATGCCTTAACCCTTCAACACAAAGCCGGATTTCCAAATTCTATCCAATCCCCAGCCTTCACTCCACTGGGTCGTAACTCTGGGAACTGCTGTAGGTTTTTTCATATTTGGAATTCTCCATCCTCATTGTCTAACCTGACTTCATCTTTGGTGTACATCAAAGGACTCAGCGCATTTTGTTTTCAGTGGAGACAATCAGTGTCATGATTGGTTTCTTTACGTCTCAAAACAGAAGAAAAGAAAAAAGGTGTTGGTGTATAATGGCAATGTTATGTCCTTCAGGTGTTTCCAGAATAAGTGGGGCTTTTATCTCGGTCCCAAAAGTATGTTATCTATGGTTTTGACTTCAAGCCTAAAATATTAATATACTCTTTCTGATCACAAAAAAAAGATTTCTCATGCGAACATTTAAACGGTGTAATATTAGTTCTGCTACTGAATTCTTAAGTGTCTGATTTCTCCACGAGAGAATTCCACGACTGAAACTGCCATGCGGTTTGAAATTTTATAATGTTGAGCAGTGTCTTCGTAGCAAGGACTGAAACTAATTACTCAGAACATGCCAATAATCAGGAAAATAAACCCTTTATGTTTAAACACGATTGGTAAAAGGAAAAGCCACTACAACTTCTTTAAAAAGAAACCTCTGGCATAAATTAAACTGAGCTGATCTCCATTACGCATTTTGTCCATTAGTTCCATACTCACATGGGGTGCTAGTTTAATTAATACAGTGCCTGAAACACTTAGATATGTTAATCCTGGCAACAGGATAGTGGTTTGTCATTTAAAAAAAACAAAACAAAACTCCTGAGCATTGTTGTTACTGTACAAAACAGAAGATTTCTTGCTGCTACTGCCATTTTTGTTGTAAATCCTCACCCTAAAATATTTTGCACTAAAATATGTAAAGGTGAAAGAAATGCTAACTTTAAAATGCACAGTTTATTATTTTCCTTAGCTATTACAGGTGGTTAGTTCTGCAAACTGAAGAACTGTAGAATGTATTTTTTAGAAAGCGGTGTGCAAAGTGCACGTGGTTTCTCTGACTGTACCTGAAATGGGTAGAGCCATTTTTCTGTTCTTACCAAAGCCTGTTCACTTAAACTCCATCAGAAAAGTGGAGGTGGATGGTCATATTTATAAATAACCATGGCTAAAGTCTGCTTTGATTAGAAGTGTTAGATTTGATTTTTTTTTTATATTTTAGTCATTTTATTTTATAGAAAGATTTAAGTTAAATATATAGACAAACTACTTTATGGGTTTTTTGCTTTCGTGATGCCACATAGTAGCTTAGGCAGTTTTTTTTTTTCAAGTTCGTAGATGTACAATAAGTTATTTACCTGACTGATCTGCAGTGGAAAAAATCTGAGATGTTTCTCATATAGGTGGTAGGGAATTACAGCTGTATTAGGTCACTCTTGCTGCACGCCTTTCGGGGTTAGAGTTTGAGTCATATCAGGACGGTGTTACAAGCTGTGCTTTCGTAAGCTGGAGTTCAGTTTGTAAGATAGTATTTGCTTTCTGTCATTTGAGGCCTGATTTTCGAGTCTCTTTGGGCATCAACTGTAAACGTTTTGTTTTGCTAGCTTGCATTAGATGGGCGACTGGTGAACATCACATGATGTTCATTTCATGGGAACAGTATTGATGCATGGGAATGAACTCAAAAATTAACATAGGACTTCAATCGGACATGGTTGAAATCTTGGATGCTGAAATCCTTGGACGTTGAACTGCTACCTTCTCAATGAAGACACTTAAAATTTACAGCACAGTAAAAAAAATTGGAAAATGCATGTTTTAATTTAAATTTTGTAACATTTTGATAGCGTAATTACTTTAATAGCTAGCCTTAATTCCTGGCGTTTTATTATCTAAATGTGTATTGTGTACTGTTGTAAATTCACGTACCATATCTCTAGAATGTTATCTGTTGCTAAATGCAAAGTTCTTTAAATTGTTTATTTAGTAGCGTGAAAAATGTCTTTGAAGGCCTTTGACTTTTTAAGCTCCACCATCATAAATTGGCTGTTACCAAAACGACATTAAATAACCTTCATCTCTGTATTTAACAGAGTTTGTTTGCAATTTCATATGAAGTAGGCTCAGTGTTTTACTTGGGAGTAGACAGGGCAGGCAGATTTGCCCTTTGGATTATCTCCACCTTCATCCACATTAAATCCTCAGAGGGAAATGTTCATCTTCTCCTTACATTTTTGGCAGTTTCAGTGATAACGCACTAATATATAGTGGCATAGTGCTTACCTCTGTCTAAATCTTTTAAGTGTTTTGTTCGAAGCTCCGTTTCACACAAGTCCCTGCGACCTGATCTCACTGTAAATTGTACAAATACGTAACTGAGTTCTGTGATGGCGAGAGGGATGGAACGTAGCGACTGCAGCCGTAGTGGGGGCTTGGTCGGGTCTCCAGGTGCGGAGCACTGTCAAGCAGTTGCAGCCTTGTGACTGTGCTGAGAATTGACATCATGCATGAAAATACGGTTTTCTGAGGGATAAGGGGAACTAGCGTGGGTACTTACACATTTAGCCTGATAAAGTTGGCTTTAAGTATTGCAGAACATGGAAGAGGTGTACAATATTGTATCGGTGTCAGAAAATGCAATTCAAGTGAATTTAGTCTCACACAGGCCTGGAAGAGATCTCCTGAGAGAGAAAATCCAATCTCTCTACTACCACGTCACACCCCTTTAATAAATCTTAGCAGCTCCATCTCCAAGGTTGTTTTGGCTAAGGAAAATACACCCAACTGTGTGCTTTCTTACTGAGTGTTTGGCAGATCTCGTTTTCTCCACGTGCCCTTCAAAAGATGACCACAAATCAGTATTTGCTCACCTTTGTGTTTTACTACGTTGTAAATACTGTCCACAGGAAGATGAACAAAGGCAATAAAATGCATGAACTGCAGTGCAATATCTTGGTTGTCCTCTTGTATTTACAACCCATTTCACAAAAAACCCTGCCTGCAGGCCCACGGCCTCCGAGAGATTCGGACCTCACAACTGGTTCTTCTTGAGCTCTGAGCAGATTTTGGCATCTGCTAAGTCAGCTTTCCTGGGCCAGGGCCTTGTAAGCACCAGAGCCGGTGGCTCTCCTCGCATCCCAACAGTTACTAGAACTCAGCTATCCACAGGATCTGGTAGTCCTCTGCTAGTGCAGCACTGCCAGTAGCCCAGGGAGGTCTGTGGCTAACCAACCCTCAGGTGGTCTTGCTGCCCCTTTTCTTAGGAGATTCTGCATCTTGAATAAATTCTGCCTCTCACCTGTGTGGGGCTGTCTGAGGAGGGATTTCCAGCCATGGAGGAAGCAGGCTGTGCCTCAGCCCTGGCCTCCTGAAGTCCCAGGGGAACTTTGCTGTTTGCTGTGGTGAAAGGGAAATATTCCAGCATTTGTTCCTCCCTTGATTCCCACGAAACAAATTTGTTTCTTTTTCCAAGCACTCTGCTGTCTCTGCTGAATACATGAGAAGCATGAAAAGATATGATTTGAGGTTGTTATGTCTGTTAAGATAGACCTTGATCTATTAACACCTTCTGAAGGAAAACCTTTAGTTGAATTGGCACCTGAATTGGAATCCAGAGGTGGCAGCACTGCACTGTCCTGACCAGTGGCATTCATTGAAAGTGATTTTTCACATCGCTTTTAAAATACTGATACTCTTTCTGAGCTGCATCCTCTTTTTCCAGACAATGTTTTAAGCTAATGTCCTTTTAAAATTACCCGAATAGGTGTTCAATATCTAATCCATCACATGGTTTAAAAAATTATTCTTTTGTCCCAGAGGACTTTCTCTATTGTAACTCTATGCTACTGATTTTTTTTTCTTAATAAATAGGAAACTTAGCACCTTAACTAAGACAGAGCCGAGCCAAGCAGTAATGTGGTTACTTTCATCACAACACAATGTCTTTTTTGACGGCAATATCACATAGGAAGTTTAAGTTGATTCTTCACCTGAAACAATATCTGTCTTGCAAGTATTTCAAGGATGCTTTGGTATATGAAATTTTTTTATATTCAGGCACTTAAATCCACTTTTAGGTAGGGCCATTTTCAGAGCTTCTGTGTAGCTGCAGCTCCTGGGACCTCAGAAATGCTCATCTTTGCTGAAAACCAGGGAACAGACTTAAATGTGCAAATAAGCTCAATGATAGTTGCTTCCACTGAACTACTGCTTTTTGTTTAATTTGCCAAGGGGAAGCGAGGCAAGTTTTTGAGGACAGTGACTATATGGTCACTGGAAGAAAGGGCAGGGAGGAGTGTTTAGGATGCTCACTATGTAGATAACTTTCTGCTTTTAAGTTGCCATTTAGAATCTGGTCACTTTTCTTCAAAATCTGTACTTCTGGATCTCAAAAACTTCCTTGCGTTGATGTGTCCACGCACATTTCCCATTCTCAGACTACTTCTGCCATCTTCACAGCAGATACGAAACAAGGTCAGAGAGAATTTACCTTCCTCGTTCACAGGCAAGCCAAGGCCAGGATGCCCTGTCACATTTCTCAGACTTGGAAAAGATGAGAGCAGATAAAGGGAAGGAGAAGACAAAAGAAACTTTGTAGTGTTTCTCTGTATTGCTTGCTGAGCTTTTAGTTGTTCTCCAGCCATCCCCTTTCTCTCACTTCAGTCCTCGTACTTTGTTTCTGTAGCTGCTTGTGGCATTAGGGCGGTCGGTGGTGCCAGAGAAAGAAGACAACATCTGGTATAAGAACATGCTCAAAACCCGCTCATGAATAACAAAGGGCTCATGTGCTTTCACTGTGTGCTGAAAGCAGGAGGGAGTCCCTGAGCCCAAAGATGCTCTACTTTTCCAAAACCTCTTCCACAATTACCAAGCCAAGTGATAAAATCTCTTTCTCACTGATTATCAATCCTAAAATTGTGGAAAGAACAGAAGCTAGAAAGGGATACTGAGTCAAATCTGCAATGTTGAACTGTCATACCCCTGTTTTCTGTGAGAAAGCCGAGCAAGGTGGTCCTCTGTGATAAAGCATCCACAGCTGAGGCATCTCCAACCCCGTGTTGTCCCAGCGGTTTGCTGAATGTTTTGTGTG